CAAATTAAACTATTTAAACTCTACTCTCCAGGTTGAGGGAAGAATTATGACACCTCATAACGAAGGGCAAAATTCTTCGGAATTCACGAGGTTAATGCCTTTTCTAAAAACCTGAGCAAAAATTAATATAGGTACATGAAATGTTCGGACAATGTGGGCGACCGAAAGGACCAGTCAAATAGCAACGGAAATGAGGAGATACAAATTAGCGATGATCGGAATAAGTGAAACTCATTGGACGCAAGCTGAACAGAACAGGATAGATTCGAGAGAGATACTGCTGTACTCTGGTCACAAACGAGAAAATGCTTATCACACTCAGGGGGTTGCTGATGCTGTCCAAGGAAACACGAAATGCACTAATTGGGCGGGAATCTCATGGACCCAGAATCAAAGCATCATTTAAAAACAAAGAAGGAGGGAATTACCATGAATATTATCTAGTATCATGCACCCACTAATGATAGCAATGATGACGATAGAGATCAGTTTTACGAGAGTCTGCAATCGGTCATAGCGAAGTTCCCAGGAAAGAACCTGATAATCCTGATGGGAGATCTAAATGTCAAAGTCGGAGTTAACAACACCGAATATGAAGATATCATGGAACGATATGGACTGGGAGAAACGAACTAAAAAGGTGACAGACTTGCAATTCCATGTATATTCAACAAAATGTTTTTAGGCAGCACAATATTCCCTTGAAAACGCATACACAAAACTACATGAGTCCCACCGCACCATACTACGGAAAACTAGATAGATCATATTTACATCACTAAATTGTTCAGAAGGTCAGTGAAAGATGTGAGGACTAGGAGAGGAGCTGACATAACTTCCGATCACCACATGATGGTTGTTAAGATGAAATTGAAGCTAAAGAAGAACTGGACAACTAGGGAAACATCACTACAAAGGTTCAGTAGAGCCTTACTTCGAAATACTAACAATCTCAACGAAATCAAGATATTTCTCAACAACAGGTTCCAAGCCTGACGAGATCTGCTGAAAAAAAGTCTCCGGAGGACCGTTGGAAAAAGATCAAATAGGCTTCAACTTCAACGTGTCAGGAGGTCCTGGACTGCAAGAAGCATCATCATAAGGTATGAATCTCTATCGAAACCATAGACAAGACTCAAGAAAAGAAGAAGACAGAAATCAACAAAAGTTGAACAACAATAGAGAAAATCAAGACAAAAGCTGAATGCACTGAAGCATATAAGATAGTGAAGAGAAGCATTAGAGCTATCAAGCAGAAACGCATGGAAGAGCTTGCGGAAAGATAGCGGGAAAAGATGCAAGAGAAGGAAATATGAAAAAAACTATATGACATGACGAAGAAACTGACAGGGAAACATAGTAAACCAGTGAGATTAGACAGGAACAAAGATGACAAGCCAATCACTGAGATTTAAGAACAGAGGAACAGATGGGTAGAACACTTTGAGAAACTCGTGAATAGGCCGGCTCCATTTCATCCACCAAAAATCGGAAAGATGCCTTTAGGTGTCAGTCCACCAACGATCGAAGAGATCAGGATGGTCATCATTGAAATCAACAATGGTAAAGCAGCATAACTTGACAAGATACCAGCTTGAGGCATTGAAGTCAGACATAGAAGCTACGGCAAAGATGCTCCACTTTCTATTCAGGAGGATTTGGGAGGAAGAACAAGTGCCGACAGAATGGAATGAAGGATACCTCATCAATATACAAAAAAAGGAGATCTGAGCAATTGTGAGAACTACGCGGCACTACACTACTATCGTTATCAGAAAACGTTTTTAACAGTATTCCTGAACCGGGTGCTGATGCTGTCGTTCAGGAGGACGATGAAAGCTCCACGACCAAACCACCCAGCTCAGAGAACAAACCTACATCAAAATCACCCACGTGGGCTACAAATCTTCTCCACCATCTCAGAGTAACAGAGACACTAACCCGTTCATATAAAACTTAAGTATTCAAACCCTTATTTAACTTTTGAAAGATGACAACTATCATAATTATCACACCTACTTAGCCAAAGATATCAGTGGAAAACTAGAGCAATCCTTTCCTAAAAATAACTTTCTAAAAGATATTTGTACATTACAAACGTTTTTATCATGTTGAACACACACACTTGGCTAGATCGCTTTAAAATAGTCTCAATTTCATTGTGAACATTTATTTTCTTTCATTTATGCGGTGCACGCACATGCTTGTGTGTGTGATGGTCAGAGTTACGGAAATAAACAATATATGTTCAACTATCATTGTTATATTTAATGAACCATTGGAAAATGTTTGTTGTTATTAACATAAGAATAAATGTTACTAAACTAATTGTCTATGTTTTTGTCACTGAAATTAGGCTGATTTTAATAATAATTAAAACAATATAATCTACTTACACGTGTTATTCCATGTTCTCGTGAAATATCTCTCTTTACGTTTTTTTTCCTTACTCCATTTACTTCTCCACAGATGTTATTATTTTGTTTTCACCATGTTAAAATCTATAAATTTGTTTTTTTTCTTCCTTAAAGTTGTACTGACATTGAAAGGATTCAAAGAAATTTTGAGTGAATCTAGCTATTATTATTAAGTTGATCAGGTTTATAAATATTAAGCGAAATTATTTAATTGTTTATTATTAAAAGTACATTTGTATTGCATTGTGTTTTAAAAAAATAATATTTATATGCTCATTGCTGATGAGTCCCATACTACGATGAAACGACTGTCTAGTCCTTCTAGGTTTTCAGTGATGATCTAACATTGATCCATTCATAATATCAATCTAACCTCAACAATCTTCACAACCTTATACTGATAATATTTATATATTTTAAGATTTCCTTTACAGTAAACTGATATTAGATGTTTATCATTAAAATATTAATTAAGAATTTAATTATAATAATACAGTTCATGAAGAATAGTAACTTCATTTAAGAAAAAAAATTTTTCTACTTTACAAACAATTTCTAATAGAATAATTGTATATCATTTTCAAAAGTGAATTTTAGATGATTATGATATTATCTATATGTTACAATAATAAATAAGCCAGGGGGAATGATACTCGGATCCTTTTTTTTCGAAACATAAATTGTAATGAACAAATAGTCTATTTTGTTAATAATCTTGACAACAAAATGATATTTCAAATATTGTGAAAATTCAAGCTAATCTTCATAAAATGATTTTCGTTTAAATTTGTTAATATTACTCACAAAATTTATGATTGTTTCAATGAATCATTTTTTGATTTGTTTTGTAATTTTATATGGTACAGATCATGATCAACTACATAAAATTACTAAAATCTCCATAAACCCCTTTCTGATAATGATCATATGCTCACTAGTGACTGGCTCCATGAGGTATTTCCCGGAGTTCTAGTGAGAAGCAGTAACCAGTGGAGTTCAACCAGGTCTGTTAGGAGATATCAACTCACTGAAGACATTGATGAATGGTTGCTCAATTTCGTAAGTTGGTTGAAGTTAGACTGGCCTAGTGGTTAAGCGCTCGCGCACGAGACTGATAGGTCCTGGGTTCGAATCTCTAAAGGGGGGATCATGAATGCGCACTTCCACTGAGGAGTCCCACAAAAGGACGAGACGGCCGTCCAGTGCTCTCAGGTTTTCCATGGTGGTCTAGCTTCAATGGATTCGTGATCTCAAATATATAGAATTATTAAAATCTCCAGAAAAACCCCTTCTGATTTTGTTTTATAGTTAATCATTTTTTAATGTAATTATAAAATCATCGGTATCTAATATGGTTGTATGTTTGAAATAATTAGAAGTTGTAGGTTTGTAGGCAATTTATTGGATGTGAGTTTTCATTAATAATGTAAATGTTGGGTAAAATTTTAGTTGGCTTTCAACTTTACATTTTTATATTCATCCTATTGATTAAGTTTATGCTTCATAAATGCTCACTTGTTTCTACTGTTTTCAACAAAAGAAATAATCAATTATTTGAAGATCTGTTCTCTTCTCTATTTCTTTTTAATTCGATAAAACATATCATTTTTGGGATTCGAAATTTCAGGTCATCGACTATTCATCTAATAACTATTAAAACTTCAGAGTATGTACTATTTGATATGGTTTTAACTTCTTGTTGACTGTAATAAATATGTGACTTGGCGGCCTGCTTAAACATCTGGGCTACCTGTTTCCCGTCATCTATATATTTCAACAAGTTATCTAATATTGTTTGTCTTAATACATAATTATGGCTATTAAGCACACAACCTATTCCGGTGCGTTTCTGAAAACTGTACAACCTTTCGCTGTAAAGGTTACAAAAGGCCTTATCAGAGATGTCGTGTTTGCTGGGAACATGCAGCAAAAAGAATATACATTATCCATATGTCGATTGACTGAACTGCTGACATCCAACTGACGATCACTGAATGTTTATCATCAGGAGCAACGAAGAAATAAGAAACGTAAACATGTTGAAATACTTTATGCTGAGAATTCGATTTTGTACCAAATAATATAAAATTGAATAAAGCTAATAATAATAATAATAATAATAATAATAATAATAATAGTGTCGTCTTTAACATTGAACACATATCTTACTAGTGATCCTCATATGATATGCAACCTTGTACCTAAGAATTTTATCAATTGTCTCCAACAAACCAACTTGAAACAAATGGCACTAACATACATCAAGCCAGTTAGCCTAACAATTATGAACCAATCGATAAGGTAGATCAACCAACAAAGACTTTCTAATTCTCAGTTAGAGATTAAAATTTCAAATTATTATGCATTCATTTTATAATAAAGTGGATGTACAACAAACTACTCACTAATATTCTGCACCTAAAGCACAACATTTTAGTTACATAATCATTTTAATAAACGTACAGCTATAGATTGATGTTGATATACCTTAAAGAATATAGGAATATTTCGGGGAAGAATATCGGTGCAAAACAATTTATACACATTTTCTACTCATTTTTTCCTTTTTTCCATGTTTTTCAGGGCAACTGGAGCTACCTTAGGTGTGTTGGCTATATTACTTGTTTTATTCCTATTACTTTTGTGCCTTCCATGGAATAAGTGTGATCGATACTGTTCTTGCTGTCGTTGTTGGCTTTTTAGTTCAAATGAGAATATTCACAGACAGTCAGATGATGCATTTCGTGCAGCCAGAATGCCTGGAGAGTACCGTGAGTCGCTTTTTTAGCATAGAGTAGGTAGTGTTTTACTCATTCTTTGGTTAAATAAGCCTTTTATTCAATAGGGATGAATATAATCTTTAGGTTAGGAAACAGTAGGATTTTGCAGAATAATCTGGGCAATTATTCATAAATTTGAGCACTCGCATTTATTTCACTCATGTTAATCTTTCCGACAAGCCTCAAATATGATGAAACGCGTATCTTTCACTTCATTGGATAGAATTAAACAATAATCTCTTGTACGGAAAAGACAGTTTACGTGTTACATATTCTAGGACATATTAATATTTGAAACCATTTTTAAGTTTAAGCGATGTCGTTCTATTCTCATGATTGTTAACTGATGACGTTAAAATAACCTGTCTACTTATGAGTAGTCAACAAAGTCAATCAAAAGGGATTTCATTTTGTAGCATTCAATCTTTTCTACATTTCACCTAGTTTATGGGTATCTTGTGTGCTGGGTATGTATGAGGAGTAGAGTGTGTGAAAAGATGTGTAAGAGAAACAGAGAGATAAATGTGAGTAGAAAATTTAGCAAACAAATATAATGCACCTTTGTTTCATAATGAAAACGATTGACAGGAATTGATAATAACACAGGCGTAAGATAGAGACAATCTGATAATAGGGTGCTGGAATTTGTTAGCATAAGGTTGCATATTAAATACAAGCTCTTCAAGTTCACACTGACGCCTGGATATTAGCTGCATAAGTAAAATGAAATTTGATAGTTAAAAAAGAAGAATAACCTTTTAATTTCAAGTGTTATCAAACAATAACTTGCGTTATTCTTGAAATAATATGTTATAGAATAGATTATTTTTGTATCACTAGTTTTCTGGGTAAATTGAATGACTTTTTATACATGAACTGTGGTTACTCACAATCAAAGATGATCATGCCGTCTTCAATAGTTTATGAAGATGTTTTAGTTTGATTACATGGAGCATTCCATAATCCAGCGACAGAATCTTGTTTATTTGTTTCGAGTGCAACCATGCAGACAACTATCTCACGTTTTGATTGCCGCCACTTTTTTAGCAGTTTTAAAATTCACATAATATGAAATTTAAGATGAATGTGCAAATGGTTTACATCAGATTCTATCGTGATACATTCAGATTAATGATTTACAAGAATGGTTGAGTTCTCTTTTTTATCTGTTTGATACACTGTAGCAATATATTCTAATATAGTTCAATAGTTGAAACACAGTCGGTGAACATTTCACTATTTCGAAATCTATTTTTATTAATAAATGAATATCAGCAGCTAAGAGTTAAATATTCACCATAGTGTTTCATAATATTGTTTTGTCTGTTAAAAAAAATTATCAAGTTGTACTGTTCAAACAAACAATAAGCATTAAAACCTTTGTCGATAGGTGCTACATATGTTTGCATAGGATATTTTCATGTATTATATGTATATATATATTATGTATTATATATTCCCTTAAAGAAATTGTCCTTTCACTGTAACTGTATAAAGTGAAACATTTCAATAGTGAGACGAGATACAATAATAAATGTTGCGTGTTATATGAAAAAAATTTATATTAATTTTGGATAACAATATGGATAACACTCCAGTGAATACACGTTCCCATACATATATCAAATTAGATCAGTTCATGATTCATTGTGAAACAAAGTTCAATAGCTTTTTTCTTTCTCTTTTTACCTTCATAGCTATGCCAATGTTTGACTTCATCCCACCATCTGCACTACCTAAATTACCAAACTACGAAGAATGCGTAAATACTGGGCCACCAGCAAATGACGAAGCTCCACCTCCACCAACCCCACTTTCTTTTTATTCAGCTAATTCAAATGGTCAACCAGCCTTACGTCTTACTATCCACAGTCAACCCGACTTAGTTGCTCATATTAACAGTTCTCAAGCACTTGCTAGTCCTTTATCCACACCTCCACCAACTTATTCATCAACTTGTTTGCACAGGCCATCAACGACGAGTCGAGCAGTTGAAGGCACATCTCGAACAGTTGAAAACTCATCTCATACAACATCAAGGCAATTATCGGTGGACCGTTAATTAATTGTTATCTTAATATTTTTCCTAATTACGGTTTTCTACTCTCGAAATGGTGGATTACTTGTTTCTCTCTGTTGTATCTTATACCATTCTTTAAGTTGTGGGTGTTTTGGTCTCTCTTTCTTGTTTTAATTACAAATATAGAGATGAAAATACGTTTCTGTGATCATTGAACAGTTACGTTAATATACTACTAAGATTTTGATGAGTAGTTATAAATCTTAGAGATAAAATAATCAATTCAGATTTTTTTCTAGATATTTTTTTATCAACCTTTCACTTTGTTTCCCTTTTGAAATATCAAACATATCAAGGATTTTCTGATAACAAATAACACAAGCGTATACTTTCGTGGTTGTCTGCTGTTATATAAGAAAATTAAATATACTTATAGATATATATCACACTCTTTTATTTGTTTTAAAAAACAATATTTCCAAATATTTCCTTTATACCATCAGGCATCATATCAAAGCCAATTTCATATTTATATCTCCGTAGTTGTTTGATGAAGCTTTCTGGAAATTTTTTTCCTAATTTTGGACGCTTTTCATTAACACGCAATTGAGGCTTGTTTAGAATTTACGTTGCATCAGACAGAAATCCCCATGCCTATCGGATCTGTAAATGAAATTATACAAAGCATTTACATAGGCAGGATCCGACATTTATTGATAATGAATTTTTATATAACAGAAAAATTACGGAATATGAAGTCTGAAAAAATATGGTCACTATTTACGGATAAAAACTCCTTTAAATAACTTCAAAATTAAAAAAAAACATTTTAGGAAAATTCCATGGCTCCTCTTGATATTACTTCTCCAGTATAAAGCTTTTTCTAGTTCTCTTAATTTGAAATACTTGAGTAACAAAGTTTGTATTGTACAAGAGATTCCAAGATCCCTAGGCTTTAAGGAGTATTTACATGCTCCTCAATTCAAATAATTCCTCAAGATTTTCAGAAATAATATCAACACGACTTTGGATCTAAATTTTATACTCTTCAGTCAATTATTTTCATGAGGATGTTTACTATGATTGTTTGTCTTTTAAGGTGCTAAATTAACTCTATTAATTAGATTTACAGTGTAAATGTGATACTTACATGATTAGAAAATTAAACAACGGAAGTTTCCGTACTAAAAATAGGTTATTTTTCTGAGGATAGGTCACTTGCTAAAGTTACTTTATTATTTGTATATCATCTTTCTTTTACAATTTCGAGAATATTCTCCCAATATTCATCTTCTCTAGACAAAAGGCTTGGTTTTTGAAATGAGAAAAACTATTTCGCAAAATTTTGATCTTTTATGTTGAATGATAATTGTTGAAATAACAACTATATGTAAATCAAACCAACAGTTTCTAAAACTGAAATAGTAGATTTTAATCCCTAAACAGTCAAGAACTTTTAAATGCACACCAGGTTCAAATTTTCAGATATGCTGAAGCATTTAATCAAGTTGATTATGACTTGTGAGGTTAATAATGTAGACCAAGCGCTTAAGTTTTATACATGTTGTATTAAATGAGATCAATGGATAACCGATAGATTTCACATAATTCTTATATATATATATAAAGAGAAAATGATTCAAAGATGTTAGTAACTTATTTTGATCTGAAGCTGGAGTTTAGACTCTAGAGTTAAAAGATTTTGATCATTAAATGTAACACCTTTTTTTTATTGTAACAAGTTGAGAATAAAGTTTATTTGTAGAATCTGTACTTAATATTAATTCCTCTTACTGATGAACTAGTGAAAGGCTATGTACATAATTCACTGCCAGCTGTTAAGTAAATTAACAATCTGGTTCAAATTATAAACCATTATTAAGAGTATTTACTTATCGACTGTTTATACTTGAGACTCAGTGAGTCACTGTATGTACATCAATATAGGAGTGTAGGTACATCTGACTAACGGGTGCGGAGTTGAATGAGTTATACTCTAAACTATCTAAACAATGAACTGATTGGGAAAAACTTGGTATCTGTTGACTGGAATTTTATTCTGACTGAGCCTTCAACTTTGGTCATAAAATTCTTTCAGATTTACTTGTGTTCTCGTGCAATTCGTTTATACATTATTCAAATCAGATTGTTTGAAATTTAAGTTTACTAAGAAATGATGTATTGAATTGTATGTTATATCTACTAAGAAATCCTAAGGGTACTCGGTAGGATATTTTAATTTTTTAGCGTGTAAATTACACCTTTTTCAACAGAAATAACGCGCTTTGGATCACACCTAAGAAATGAGCCTTCGAGTAGACGTAAAACGTTCTCTATTACCTTTCACAATTTAACGGTTCTGAACGTTCCTATCACGCTAAAGTAGACAACGTTAAAAAGAAATTCAAGCACAAATATTATAGAAATCACCGATTCAGACACTCAGTGGAATTAAAAGGAAGGAGGTTTACCAAACACAACAGGAGGCTATTTAAAACAGACAGAAAGTGAGCACGAATTTTTTCAACTGACAATGAAACGGATTAAACAAATATTATGTCATAAGGTTCATATGGTAAAACGTCTCAGTTTTATGAATGTCAGAAATTTTTATTGAAATATATTTGAAACTGAAGTAAAATTAATGTTTTTATAGTGAGTCATATTCAAATTATCAAACCGATAGATTTCGTTTAATATGAGCACACCACTTCCATTGTAAAATGTACATAATTTCACAATATACTACCTTTTCTATAGTACCTGAGTATTTTACGTAAATTACCATGTTCTTTACTCTTAACAACTTTTTTACAGGATTCATGATTACCATAGTTTACATTAGGTCAATAATACTACACTTTTAAATAATATTATCTTTGATGATACGTTTTACATGCATCAATAGAATTCGATATGTACTTAGAAGAACCTGACACACATGACATCGATCACCATCTAGTGAGCAATCAATTGTAAATACACGTCAGTCCTACAAGAGGTCAGCCGCGACCCGGATAGCCCAGTGATAAAGTCTCCGATTGTGAATCTGAGAGACATGGGATCGAATTCATCAGGGAGCATCAGTTCCCTCAAGATTACAGGTACACCTTGCAAACGAGTGCCAAGTAGCACAAAACCTAGGTCTAGAGTTTACTGTTGACTATCTTCGACCACCATCTTGCATCAAATTACTAACAGTCTTTCATGAATCTTCAGTCAGAACATGTCTATTCAACTCATGTACTAATGTTTCTATTTTTTCTACTTTCTCAATCATCCTTCAAAAGAGGTGTGTATTCTTTTGTCATACTCGTCAGCTGTGTCTGCATCTCAGAGTTGATGTTCACTCTGAGACTCGAACCCAGTACCTTTCGCTTCAAACGCAATCGCGTTATCCACTCAGCTACTGAGTCCTGATAGCCACTTGCTTGTACAACGGGGTAAAGTTTGAATTCGTTTAGTATTGCAGGTACATCCAGCTGACGAGTCCTAAATAGAACGAAACGCTCGTCCTGGATTCTACTGCTAGCCACTATCCATCTTTGCTTATACTCATATTTGTTACTGCCAATTAATTCTTTAGCAAAACAATTATTATAACTCCAAGTGTTTTTGGTCATATTTAATAAAATCCAATACTTAAAAACACATACAACGAATATGTACAATTAAATATAAACATTTTTTGAGAATGTAGATTTAAATTAATAAATTGTTGGATTCAAAATTCAATTATTTTCTAATCAGATGTACATTGTTATTTTATAATGAATGATTTTTTGGAAGTTGTATTTACACAAATTAAAGTAAATATTGAATAGGCTAAATGAAATGTGACTAGATTTTATTGATTAATTCGTACTAACGAAAAATCAATTAGTAATAAATTTTGATCTTTCCTATTCGATCAATAATGTACGGCTATGCTAATAAAAGGTAACAAAAATAAAGTATATCTGGTTTTAAATTCATTTGGTATTGATTTTTTAGTCTTCTCATTGATGTTTAAGACTGTAATTTATGAGTTTATTATTGGCATATGTACGTCCTGGATTTCACTGTTAGCTACTACCCACCTTTGTTTATATATGGGATTTTTTCATTTGAATTTATTTGTTTAAATGTTTGAAAGTTAGTTTTATTCCAATAGAGACTGACCAGTTGCAGTCCTAACACATAGATGGGAAGATTCAAACAAACAACACCATGTGAATTTAAATTTCAACCCATTGCACAAGCAAGTGGCTATCAGAACTCAGTAGCCGAATGGATAACGCGATGGCGTTTGAAGCGAAAGGTACTACGTTCGAGTCCCAGAGTGAACATCAACTCTCAGATGCGGGTGCATCCAGCTGATGAGTCCCAAATAGGACGACACGCGCGTCCTGAATTCCACTGCTAGCTACTATCCATCTTTGCTTACAATATATTTAATTGTTTATTTTTAAAAAAAAACTGTTTTTATTAATTCCAATATCTTTTTTTCTTGTTACAATGGAATATTTAACGAGTAGCTTGCTGGAGTAAAAAGAGTTTTTATTCATTAAGTCTATTAAGCATCTTATTTAAAACTCAGATTATAATAGTATAATACATTTACTTTATTTATGGTAAATAACATTGAAACGGCCCGAATCGACAGTTCACCAAAATGCTTATAAGAGTTTATCTTACGTTGTAATAACTTGATAGGTAATGTAATTGGTAAAAACTAGAACGTCAGTTCGAATAGTAATTAGTGTTATTATTATCATTCACAATAATAATAATAATAATAATAATCACTAATCGATAAATAAATTGTTTGGCTGAAAACTGGGTTTTTCTGTATATTCTCCATAATATATTTTGAATAAATTAGATAGTAGCTGATAAGTGGCGTATAATATACTAACTGGTCATCTACAACATCACGTCTATGTTCAAGTTACCCGAAATAACAATTTAGAAAACTTTTAACCTTAATAATATGCATGCCTAATATCATATAATGCAGAGCATCATCGACGTTTTTTTACGTTTTTTTAAAGCGATATCAAAATATATTAAATGTTTAGAACAATTTGTAATATAGTTCTATAGACAGTGTCAGTTTATACTGATGAAATTGACGGCCTGCTTGGAACTCTGGGCTACGTATTTTTCAAGCTATCCAATAATTTCAACAGATTACTTGTTTTGTACGTATTTTAACTGACTAACTGTGTTAAACGAGTATATCATTTATTAAATCACATATGCGAAGCTTTACAACCTACCCATGTTGAAAATGCGATAAAGTGCATACAGATTGGCAACATCGCTAAAAACAATTAAAGTTTATCAAATATTCTTGCTCAAAGTAAATGACTTTAGCTGCAGATTTTTCATGGAAAAAGCTAATCGGTTCCCTTCTTAAATATCTATCCTAATGATGAAATGGTTGTATTACAAGAACATCAGTCACATAAAAACTAGTTTGTATCACTACGTAGTCTAAAGATATGTAACACGGAACGTTTAGGCAACGGTAGTATATATATGGGGTAACTATTTTCATAACTATGAGCTGCTGTCAGTTTAATCTTGTGTGTTTCAGTTTTTCAAAAAGCTGTTACACCCGTCCAGTTTTAAAATTTCATTCAAGACATTTTAATAAGTATCGTTATATTATTGTTGCCAACATGTAGGCGAACACTAGCTGCCATCTGATTTTAACGACCACTTCACTGAATTTGCCTCTATTGTCCAGACTAATTCTCTCCTAGTTATAAGTAATGATTTCAATCTATAAAC